AAAAAAAAAAAAAGAAAAGAAAAGAGAAAAGAAACGAAAAAAAACATACAACAGGAGGGATTCGCTGGTGGTCACCCACCCAACTACTAACCTCCCGGCGTGTGGCTTAAGTACGGCTGAGCGGACGGGAAGCCCTGTTCTCCACACCCTATGGTCGTATGTACTGGTTTCGTCTAAGTAGCTAATTATATAGTGCAAGGCAGCTAGGTGCGATAGTGTCATGGCAGGCTCAGGTATAGCTATGTAAGGAGCGATCCAGGCGATATCAGACCTAGGGTCTGGGTATTAAGACCCTTGTGGCCTATGTGGGAATAGGCCTGCCTGGACACCCGTTCTTACAGATAAATTGCATATGCTGTAACGTTAAGCAAGACCGGGGTGGTGGGCTGACCTGCGTTCTGCCTCGTTTCTATCTCAACTCGCTCTTTGGCTTAATGGAAGATATATTGTAGAGTTAACCAGTAGACCTGGCCATCAGGAAGACTGCTACAAAGGATGATATGAATATAATTCTTTATTGAGAGTATAGCTGAGGTTTTGAACTAGCTATCGAGAGACAATATGCGCTGCTAGGTCTCTTTTCTCTCTTTCTGTTGCCACGAGGCAGCGGATTGGTGCTATTTATTATATACTTACTGACTTATAAATGCAAGGCTAGGGTTACGGTCAATGCTGAATGGGACCATCGTAATATAGATCTTGACAGAGGTGGCACTATGAGGGAGGTGACATGCCAATTGAATGATATATAAAGATCATGGCAGTAAAACCTCTTTTCGTAAGGAATATGACAACCATGATCTGCAATTTCCAGCTACTGTGAACTGGGCTGCCAGTTGCCCTTACCAAAAAAACTGCAGGTAATCACGACGCCGCCATCCGCACTACAATGGGAAGACCCATATTAAACAAGAGATGAAAAGGGATTGTCCACAGCAGGGTGTACGTAAACTTGGGCGCCATTACCGTCCAAGTAAACGTCTCATCCCGAAGCAAGAAGCATGCTATCATCACGCAAAGAAGGCCATAAGCTACAAAGGCACTCCGAAGCCCCATGTGCTCTATAAAGCCACTGCCATGTTTCCCTTTACCTTTGACGGTCGCCATTCTGGTGCCAGATAGTCGCAAGCCGTTGCAACTCCACCAAATCGGACCCGCGTAGTTGCTGCAGAAAGTATGCACGGGACTAAGGAGCCAGTGGTGGGCGTTAAGACCGTTGAACCCGTCGGTATATCTAAGCGTAGCAATGGAGTTGGTATTTCCAATGGCAAAAAATGCGCATTGACCGAGCAGGACTATCGATACACAAATCTCAAATGCACTGAGAGTCGTTGGGAATGACACTGTATGACAAGATAAGCACATATTCTCGTCGTCATAGTTTATGCGGAATTGAACACTCACAAAGTGACTCGAGTTGCAGCCTGTAGACGAGAAACAACGGTATATTTACCGGGGTGGTTTGGATGATTAAATAGACATTCAGGATTTCTAGCAGACAAGTGGTAACTTCTATAGTAGCGATGTTGCGAGGGGAACTGATATCACCGTTCTTCATCGTCACCTGTTGCTTGGCCCTGAGACGCAAAGGAAGGTAGATGAACCCGCCAAGTAAGCAGAGAAAAACATACCGGGCCACTAAAGGGGGTTCTAGCCGCTGAAGAAAGCTTTGCAGCCACCTCGGCGCGCAGTTCATCTGGTCCGGGGCGTTTCTAATCGCAGAAGCTAGCTCGAAAGTCAAGGCGGCAAGCGATATCGCTCCATGAGCTAGCGCAGTACAGAAAACCTCTATCGACGAAGCGTTTAATATCTTCTTGAGTTGCATGGTGAATTTGACTGATGTCGCAAGGAAAGTGGCTGCAAGCAAGGCCTGAAGATAACAAGGATGTCTGCTGAGAAAATCTTGAACGTCGTATACGTCTCCAAGCTTTGCTTTGGGACTATGTACCCAGTTCTGCGAAAGTAATTGCAATAAGAAGGGCAATAACTGGACAAAATTAGGTGTGCGAGAGTGTCGGCCGGCGGTGAATACTAGGTAGCCTATCCACAGGGTAGAACTCCAGAACCAGAAGTGATGCTCGCTCTCCACAATAGACTGGGACATCATTAAGAGCCCATAGATAGTGTAGAATAGATTGAATGTGAAGAAGTTCCAGTTAAGCAAACTCAATGAGTCACAAGCATAACAAGAGAGCAAAAGCGCAATAAATGCAGTTATAATGCCGCAAACAAGAAGGGAGACTCGAATGGTTCCTATTGTGGCGGTCTCAATGACTTTCTGGATGCGATTGCCAACCTAGAAAAATGTGCTCACCGGGCCAATCAGTTTTGCGTCTTGTAAATAGCGGTTTATTTTGACGGGTGGGATTTTACCTCATAGAGATCTGCTAGGAATTGCTTGTCGGGAGCTTGCTGGAGAAGATTATCCCAGTAATTGCCCGGCCCAAACCCTTCGGGGGAGCAGGTCCCTTCCGGAACCATGTCAGACATATCGGTGATACAGTTGTTTGTGCAAAGTAAAGCCCGGAGATGCTTGATATTGCCAAGGACTAAGTGAACCCGATCCACCATATCCTCCCAAAAGGGTAGAAGCCCTAGAATGAACATCCCAATACTGTCATTAGGTATGGGAATCCCCAGAAGCCCCGAAATGGTAGGTACAAGATCAACTTGTTTGATGCCAGTATAGTAGTCAAACATACCCCCACTGGGTGTTGTAGGAGATTCGTAGCCTTGATTGATGGACTTCATATGCGGTGATATGAACATCATTGCGGCCGATATTTCAGGATCAGACCCGCCACCATGGCCTCCTAGCTGATCCATGCCGTGATCACCACCAACTATAAGGAGGGTTGAGCTTAGATGGTCCTCTTGTTCCAGGCTTGTATATATTTTCTGAACAATATCATCCATTTGCTTTTGCTTAGACGCCATAAGGTGGCTGCCAGCACCGCCCATGTGCCCAATATGATCGATCCCAGGAAGATGAAGGACCATGGCGCTCCAGTCATCACGATGAAGTTCATCCAAGGCAGAGGCTGTGATATTTATATCAAGGGAATGAAAGTCCTATACACCCTTCAGTTTCTAAAGGAACCAGGCCGCATCGGCTTGATACCGTCGCAAAGAATTACGTCGCATCTGGGGACTTACTGGAACAAACAGTGTTGAGTGGAAATGGCCCCGATCCCAGAGATCAGGAAACAGTTGCGCCCACGTATCATCACCGTAAAAGAGTAGTTTGCCCTTCCCCGCAGCTTTAAGACGTGCCAGCCATGTGTCCCTCCTGTCAGGTCTACCAGGGCCATCATCCGCATTATTAAACACATCAAGAAAACTGGAGGCTGAGCCAATCGTCATAGCCATGACACAAGATCTTGTCAGACTAGGCGAGCTGGTTTTCACCGTGAACGGCATGGCGGCACCCAGGCGGATCAAACTTGAATGAGTTAGCCAATATAAGGCTTGGGCTAAACATGTCGACGAATGCGTACTTCTGTGTAAATTCAAAGTTTGAATCGGGGCCATAGACAAAATCACTGCCAGGGATTTAACATGGATCACAGAGGTTGGCGTTGGTGCACGGTTCTAAATACCTTCGCAGTGCATCGACTATCATGAAGACCACTTTCTGGAAAGGTGCGACTTCGGATATCGCTCCATCACCTACCAAGACTGCACTACCTGATGAGGGTGGTATGGGTCGAAAAAGCCCTGCGGCAAATACAATGGTTGATACGAGAATGAAGGCATTTGAGAGGAGAAGAAGAGCTGTGCGGAAGTGCCCCATTGTGCCGCACTATCTCCCCTATGATAACATGAGAGACTGAAGGGCTCGCGGCACCGGAAGATTTATATATGTTTTCTTGTTAGTTGGCGTGGTTGAGAACGCGACACATGGAGAGTGTAGGTTATCCATGGTGTGGAGATACCCCCATACATGGAGACCGATTGTCCCAATATGATCAACCCTCAGTGAAGAAAGATTAGGTAATTAGAAGGGGCGATCAGTCATAAAGAATAAAAACCTTGCAGACAGCGCTCGGACACACCTAAGCCTCTTTGATCACTCAGCTGGGGGATTGGTTTTGTGGCTTATCTAGGGGCGAAGGAACTTTGGAATTATGGTATGTCTTCCACCTTACGCAAGGCACCCGCATAGGTATATGAAAATTCTTTCTTCAATCCAGTGGAATGCTCAAACTAGGGGCAGAGGAGAATTTGTGACCTCTCGGGGGCTAATGTACGGCAACTAATTCCCCCACCATTTCGTTGAATGCTGAAAAACGGATGTTTATGGTGACCCTAGGATGTGCCTCTGGAAGAACCCACCTGTAGTTTAAAACATCGGAATCTAAGGTGAATGGGGAGGATGGTGTTGGAAAACAACCCAGGGGATATATCTGAGTGTACAAAAGCATAGATTGAAATTGTCAAGTAACCTGCGAACTCATACTGGTAAGCCCTAAATCCTTCCTCTTGAGACACCTAAGCGTAGATATGATCAATGCCGGAGAGAGAGAGGCCCTATTGCAAACCAGTTGCATTACTCTTCCTTTATAGAAGACGGTGGACATCCTCTGGTCCACATCGAATCACTTCTTCTAAGCTCCATGTAGAAGGCACAGCCTTTCCACCCGTTGGTTTGGCCTTAGGATGTAGTCGACCAGGAAGACCACGGGAGAGCTTGAGCGTCAAAATATTGCCAATCTCGTTACAGGCCGTCAAGACGCTATTCAGATCCTCTACATTATGCGCAGCAGACACGCAGAAACGAACGCGACACTGCCCAAGTGGAACAGCAGGATACGGAACGATGACAACCGAGATTCCACATTTCAGCATCATTCGGGAGAATGCGGTCATCTTCCCCGGGTTATAGAGAATCAATGGAATTACCGGGGAATCGTCATGGCCATAGACTATAAAGCCCAGCCTCTTCAAACCTAAGCGAAGGTAATAGGCATTGAAAGTTAAGCGCTGTAGTCGCTCCTCCCCCTGACCTGGTACCAACTCTCCGGTTATAATTCGAAGAGCAGCTGATATCTGTGCCAACATTGCTGGGGCGATTGCTTCACTGTATACCACGCCGGCATTCACAGCCTGCAACTTTTTCACGATGCCCCGATCCGCTGCAATGTAGCCTCCGATAGCTCCGAATGATTTGGTCAGGGTGCCCATCATAATATCTACTTCCTTCGTGTCAATGCCAAAGTAGTCACAGACTCCACGACCATGGGGACCGATTGCCCCGATAGAATGTGCTTCGTCAATGAAAAGGTAAAACTTATAACGATGCTTCAACTCAACAATGGCGGGAAGATTGCAAAAGGTTCCCTCCATGGAATACATCCCTTCAACAACAACCAAGATCTTGTCCCACGGACGGTAGCCGATAGACGTCGGCTGACCTTGGGAGATGGCTTGTCGGAGCCTTCTCTCTAAGTCCTTCATATCGTTGTGTTTAAATGCAACGATCGATGCACCAGAAAGGCGCGCACCAAATCGCAGCGAGGAGTGATTGAGCTCATCGGAGATGATCAAGGAGCCTCGGCCCACCAATGCTGGGAGGATGGTAGCGTTGGTGCCGAACCCGGCTGAGAAAACCATTGCCGCATCCTTGTGGACGAAATCGGCCACCAGCCGCTCAACCTCGACATGTAGGTCAAGGCTTCCCACGTCTGCCCGCGTGCTACTTGCGCTGATGCCATACGTGCGAATTGCTTCATCCGCCCTGTCCGCGCAGGGCCCCTCGGACTGAGCGAAACCAAGATAGTTGTAGGAGCTGACGTTCAGTGTCTGGGTGGTTGTGCCGGTGAAATGAAAGGTTCGATTGTGGTCACTTGTTTCTCGGTCAATCAGAGTGATGTACCGTCCGGGGACCCCTGCTGTGGGACGATCAAGACAATCAGCTAGTCTCACTTTCATTCGTCGTGTATAGACACTCTCTCCGGCTGTAAACCACGGCGCGTATCCATTCCACGGCCTTAGATGACGATAGTGTTTCTCACGAAAGTAACGGCCAAAAAAGTCGCGGATGGTACCGATGATATGGATAATCATGTAACTGAGATATGTTGTGATGATATAGAAATATGGAGGTTGCTCAACAATGGGGTCGCTCCAGAGCCGAGTGGTGTGGTGACTAGAATACCGGTGGCTGGCATGACTGATGGGACCAAATTGCGTGTGCTGCTTGACCTGAGGATGTTCCTGGTTGTCATACACCGTGGGTTTCCAATGATCCATTTCAGTCCGCCTAGGCGACGATGTATGAATTTTAGTGCACTGTGGCTCAACGGCAAGAACATGTTCTAATTAACGAAATATACCACCGTGCAAAAGAGGGAAACGCAGGGTAATCTGCACAAGGGGTTGAAATTTGTATCCATCCTCGAGAGATGACATACCCATGCAGCCTTCGGGGACTGCTGGCTCCCGATCAAAACCAGTTAGACTAAAAGCTGCAGGAATGAGGGATGGAATCCTGACCATGTCGATGCCGGGAGAGAAGCCCCCTTGCTTGATGATCTTTTTTAAAATTCGTGATCCAGGCACGGCCTCCGCCTGAATCAGCTCCCACGTCCTCTCTCAATCTCAAACTACGACGATGGCCGATTCTCAAAGCGATCTGACAGGTGGCTGCCATCCCCTGATAGATGGATACAACACGCCGTATGGCTATCTGCCTACATTCGCTCCAGGTGCAGCATTCTGCGTATTGTTCGGCCTCTTAGCAGGCATTCATATGGTACAGGCAATATGGAAACGAACTTGGTGGACACTGCTCTTGACAGTGGGTTGCATCAGTAGGTGTGGGACTAGCGCTAGGGGAAGCAACCCTTCTTTACTTGGGCTAACCCTGTAGCTAACTATAGCGGAGGTTTTCGGATGGGCTGCTCGTATCTGGTCCACTCAATGCCCCTACAATTTGAATGCATTTCTGATGCAATTTTCCACTCTCATCATCGGTAAGCAATGTCACTCCCGATACAAAACATATCAACGAATAACAAGAAAACATTCAGCTCCCACATTCTTTAGCGCTGCGATTTATATTTTCCTCGGATGTTTCGTGCGCATCGTGGGACGGGCCTCCTCGTATCTTGGCCCCAAATCCTATCTCTGGACATTTGGTATCTGCGACATCATTTCCATCGTCATCCAAGGGGTAGGCGGTGGTATCGCCTCTGCGGATTCCAAAAAGATCGATGGTAATCTCGACAATGGATCTCATATTATGCTAGCGGGGGTAGCCTTCCAGTTGTTCTCCATGGCAATTTTTATGATATGCGCATGCGATGTCTTCTATCGGGTTTATTGCCACGACTTACCCGTGCCTGGCGGATCCGCCAACCTCTGGCTTGGAGTGTTGGTATCGACTACAACTTGCATCTTTATTCGATGTATCTATCGCACAGTGGAGCTGGGTCAGGGGCCAGGAGGATATCTTCTCCTACACGAGAGCTATCTGATCTCCTTGGATGCAGTCATGATGGTTCTTCTGGTGGCCATTTTCGCCATCTTCCATCCGGGCTGGCTCGTATCGACGAAGAAGGAATTTATACCTCTCGGTGAGGTTCAGCTATTGAATAGGGAAAGCAGGTCGTGATAGCAGTGGCGAAGTACTAGTTAGATATTGGTCTCTTGGGAAGGTTTTTTTTTTGTTTTTTTGTTTTTTTTTTGAACAAAAAAAATTACATCCTCTCCCCATATAGCCTGGTCGAGCTAATTCTTGTGGCGCCGCTGGGGTTTTCATTTAGTCTTTCAGATGTATCATAAATAAAGAATCGAGGGAAGTTTATCAGCCCTGTTCGTCCTTGAAAAACAAAAGTTAGAGCAAGGGATACACATTGGTATGTCATTAGACCCCTTACCGTGCTTTCCTTTTGGAAAGCTAACCCATCGTCGATGTTTATCCCGTTCTCTGTGCAGCTCGACTCAAGAGAGCGAGCCTGCCGATTATTGAATCCGATCCAGTCGAATACTTGCGTCCGGACAAATCGCAATGGTGTTCATCAAAGATCAACTAAGTCTGCGAGAGCTCATTGCCTCAAACCAGCTGGGTAAGTCAATCGCCAGCACGAGGAATAAGATGAGTTTGGTAACGACTACCTGCCAGCGTGCTCTGTCTTGGTCCTCACCACTCATATATTTGGCGATATGAATGGCTTCATGACAGTCATCCGGTCTCCATATTTGTCGTGGGTATCTGGTCCAGTCGCCGTACAATCCCGTCATATACTAGCCGATTGGGAGTTCTTATTCCTGTTCTGCTTTCTTTTGACGATGGCCCGCTCTGTCATAGCCGTTCAAATCCTCCAACCGGCGCTGCGATATGCGGGGTTCGATGCACAAGACTCCTCTCACCTGGCAGCCCTAGGGTGGAAAATACTATCCCGCGGCGTCCTGATGCTGTATGCCATGGTAGGTTGTAATTCTGAACCCAGTAGCATTCCATATCGAATTATTAATCTATTCCATGTAGGGCCTTTGGGACGAAAGCCCGGGTCGTTTGAATCCTCAGTGGCTCTTTGACAACTGGCCGCTACATCCAATCTCCGAGGCAATGAAATATTCATTCCTGCTGCGCCTTGCATTCTATATCCATCAGTGTCTGGTCATGGTTGTTGAGCCCATACGAAGTGACTTCACCTCGAAATTCCTCCATCATATTCTAACATGTGCGGTGGTTATTGCCTGTTGCAACAGCCGGGCTTACTCCTTATTGTACATCATTCTCCTGACCGCTGATCTTGCAGATTTTCTCCTAGCCGTAGGTGGAAACCAGACTGTCAGTACCACCAAGGATCATGTGCTAATAGGGTTGCTAGTTTGTTCAAATCCTAAAATGTCTGAAGTATGAGAAGAGCCTCCGGCTGTCCCTACTGGGCTTCATTTTTACCTGGATATTTACACGGCATGTGATGTTCTTATATTTCCACTGGGTGCTTCATCATGCTCTACCTCTGGAAGGAGGCTGTCAAGCCGTGATTACAGGGCGTATGATGCTCAATCCTGATGATCCAAAGTGGGAGCAAATCTCTCCCCAGACACAGCAAAACCGAAGCACGATATGCCTATCGCAGGGCGTCAAACTGTCCTTGTCTGGTATCTCAATTGTTTTGCAGTTGTTGTTCTTGATGTGGACTGTCGAATTTGTTCAAATCGCGGTGCACATGCATCGCAGATGTGTCTCGAAGTGTGAGGAGAAGGATACCTAAAGGAAAAGGCAGTAGGCGAGTACGAGCGGCGACACAATACGGATGTCATTTGACTCTCTCTGAAGAAGATCCCTGTTGAAAGATGTAATATTCTAGGTATTCAAAATTCCTCGCGTATGCGCAGCTTCAATCTTGCCATGGCGGAAATAATCTCGCATTCCTTTCTAACGGGAGGGGCCAAACCACGCTATCACTAGCAAGATCCTCGGCTTAATCTCCATTGCATTTACATTCCATTGTTGGGTCACTTGGTAATACTGGCCAGTAAAGGTCTGATCCACCCCCTCCCTTGATGCCATGTTGGAGTAAGGGCTCACTACATTCCGGATATGTTCGAGGACACTGCTAAATACTTGGGATAAAAAAAATAGAAAAGAAAAGAAAAAAAGAAAAACGAAAACCTCACAAGTACAGTAGATTGACAAAGGGTATAAATTTGAACATCCGAAATGCACTGATAACGTACGCCACTTCTGTTGCACAACACAACCAATGTATTCTGTAATAACCTTGCCTGTGTGTATAGAAGTATGGAAGGGTTGAAATCATTAGAGGTGTCACTCTGCAGATACTCTCGCTTCATATGGATTGTCTTTCTTGGGTTAGTCTTTTGAATGCAAAAAGCAATATCAGTAAATGACGATCATATCCAAGCTTCGAGGGCAGAGTATGATGTGTCGCATCTCCTAACATAGGGTTTCATTGTCACCCTTACATGTATATAAGTTACGTGTGAAAGTCAAACACGGCGTTACTTTTGCTCCTGCTCAAGGTATCGCCCCTGGTTCATGCTATATGAGCAGTATAAACCTTGCAGCTCCTCTCCGCAAGCGTGTGCGTAGCCATCTTCCGAATTTCTGTCTTTCTTTCCGTTTTTGAAAAAAAGGATTTTTGGTTTAGTTTCTTATTATATCTATAGCATTTGTGTATTCTAATTTCCCATTACGTATCTGGGGTTTCATACCTACCAAAATCTCCAACTTGATTACTTCGATGCCCAAACTAACAATATGCATCTCAATACTAATATCGATTCTCATTACGCAAAGCTCGCAGTCGGAAGTGCCACTCTTGGAGTTTTCCTCTTGATATTGCACCAACTATGTCGCCGGCTGCTTCTCCCTCAGCCGATTCCCAACATTCCATACAATGTCGCAGCTTCCCAAAAGCTGCTTGGTGATCTCCCCGAGCTCAAGGATGAAATGGATCGAACCAGCGATATGAGGTCGTGGCTTTTGCAGCAGACAATCAAATTACAATCTCCTCTCATCCAACTATTTCTCGATCCCTTTAGCAAACCAATTCTCATTCTCAGTGACCCGCGAGAGGCACTGGATATTCTCCTCTACCGCAGTCGAGACTTTGATCGCGCCCCTATGCTTTATGATATCTTCTCAGGCTTAGCCCCCACCCATCATATCGGTATGAAGACTGGACCGGAGTGGAGAAGGCATCGTGATTTGATCCAGCATTTGGTCACCCAGCCGTTTCTTCAGGACACAGCAGGGCCTGCAATCCATGCGTCTGCCTCCCGTCTTGTCAGGCTTTGGAGGGCCAAGGCTAGACTAGCAAATGGTGCGGCATTCGCAGCTAAAGGAGATTTTCAATACATGATTATCGATGCCTTGATAGAGATTTGTTTCGGGAAGGACTTCCCCAACAATGGAGTCTCGTCTCAAATCGAACTTCTCGAAGCAGACCACACACTAGCCCCCGATATCAAACCTCAAACACCGATCACCTTTCCCGAGGCAAATCCTCATGAATTCATCTGCGCCCATAAGAAGATTACTGAGGTCATTGAGTATTGCGGAGAGTCGGTATATCCCCGACAAATGTGGTGGGCGATGTCCAAGCTACCTCGTCTGGCCAATGCCCTCCGCATAAAACGCAGAGTAACCAGAGAGCGCTTAACAACGGCAGCCGCAACCATCGCGCAGAAGATGCCCTTGGCAGATAGTAATTCTGGGGCATGGTCATCCGCGGAGTTCATGGCTCACCACGAGAACAATCTTTCGCAGCAGGAATGTCGACAGCCAGAATACATTTCCCCTCCGATGGAAGATGAAGTATGTAGTATCCGCAATCTTTTTCGTTTCTTCTTCCAATCATATACTTATATCTAAGGGGTTGACTCTAGCTTTATGGATTTCTTTTCGCCGGGTCACACACCAATTTCATTACTCTAGCATGGGCGATAAAGACCGTCGCTGATAATCCCGTTTCACAAAGTCGACTGCGAGACTCACTACGTGCTGGCTTCCCCGAAGCCGTGCTGGAAAACCGTGCCCCTAGTCCCTCCGAGATGACCTCTAGACAAATACCATATCTAAATGCGACCGTGGAGGAAATCCTGCGTATTTCTCCCGCCGCCCTCTTAGTTGACCGGGTAGCGATTCGCGATACAGAACTTCTGGGCTACCATGTCCCAAAAGGAACATGCATCTGGACAATCCCAGCCGGAGCAGGATTCACCTCCCCGGCCCACCATATCAGCGAGGAGAAGCGCAATACTTCCTCACGTTCCAACGCCAAACCCAGCCGACGCTCTGAGTGGTCCGGGGATGATATTGCCCAGTTCATCCCCGAACGGTGGCTCCGACCGTCCGCTGAGAAGCACGGCGAGCTGGTATTTGATCCCAGCGTCGGGCCGATCCTTGCCTTTGGGGCTGGTCCCCGGGGTTGCTTCGGGCGACCCCTGGCCTATCTGCAGTTGCGGATGGCTATCGCCCTTTTCGTGTGGAATTTTGAGCTTCGGAAATGCCCGGACTCTTTGTCGAGCTATGATGCTGCCGATGGCCTTTTTCACAAGCCGAAGAGCTGCTATGTTTCTTTGCGAGCGCTATCGTAATGAATTCATAATGGCCATGTTATATATACACTTTTCGTAGTCCCTCAGACCCTAGTATATATACCTAGTGATAACGAATAGATAAACGCTTGTTTTAACTACTATCGGTCAAGAAAAGAGAAAGGGAAAAAAAGTAAATAGATGCTAGATAAATAGTCGACAAGTGCCACCTTTCTTTTATACTAATTAGACTCTCAACCTCAGACATTATATTCGCAGCGAAAGTCATATAAATGTCAAGTTAGGCCGACAAAGTGATGATCCATTCCAATTTACAAACCAAGCGTAAATTTAATTCCTTCCACATTCCTTTCCCTAAGTAGTAGTAGTAGTAGTAGGAGCCAGTCCCTCAAATTCTCTTCTATAGTATGTACTATGGTATACAACTAGTACCTTGGTACTCAAGTCAACCACTTCAAGAACCATCCATATACATTAGATGAGGCTAGTGCTATATACACCGGCTGGTGTGAAACCCCTTTTTCAGTCCTATAGTTTCGGGTGACTTGGAAATTCTTTGCCTCGGCGCAGTGGTACTCCCACATCAAGCTTAGAGGTGGTGCTCCGGAGCTGCTGATTCAATATGACCAAAATGCCAGCCTCTGTAAAAGGTTCCCGAGCGCCCCTGATGTCAGAGAGGCTAAAGAGAGCTAGGGAGATGTAGGTCTTGGCTCTTTATTTCTCCTGCTTGCTTTTGTACGGCCCACTCGTTTCCTTGATGGAGCGGGTTTCTTGTATGGTTTGAATCTAAAACTTTGTAATCACGATTGGGTGCTTGACAGTCAGAACACAGGTCCGCCTACCACCCCTCAGATCTCAGACCACCGGCGCCGATTCTCCGGTAGATATATAATCTTATTCTACTAGTATATGAAGGATGGGAGTTGATAGCTTGATGGTAAATTGATTGGTCGTATGAGATATGGGTCTTCACTACCGTGGCAACAGAATAGGGAGACCCGAGAAGGGTGACCCAGTGTCAATGGAAGCATGTCGAGACAATGGCGTGTAGATACTTATGGCATTGAGCTCTCACAGAGCGTGTACCACAATGCGACGACTCTGTAGAGCTCATCTGGTGGTTGTTTACATATAAAACCCAAGCCACTGCTATTGCCATATTCCCCGGTTGCTGCTAGCGTAAGCACCTAACATACCACAATCATCATCAAAACATACTTTAGAGACATCAAAGCCCACATAGCAATCCCCCAAAGCCGCGAATGAGAACCAAAGATGTTTAAGAACCAGGCTCAGTCAGGCAGGGTGTTAAGCCAATACTTCTTCAAAGTATCCACCCTCTCAACCTCCTTGACTCCGGCGCCCCTGACATCTTCAACTCTCCCAGTCTCGGCCTTTCCAGCATCCACAGAACCAGGATAAGCACGATCCCGGCGAGGTAACTGAGATTTTTGTCTTCCCCAAAAGGTTCGATTTTGAAAGACACCATCCACCTCTTCGAGTTTCAGCTCCTTCGTCTCCGGCACCATTAACCACACAAACGGGATCGCCAGGGTCAGGAAACTGGCAAAGAAGAAATACGTTCCGTATTTGATATTCCGAATCATATAAGGGACACTGCGGGCAATGACGAAGTTCAGAAGCCAGTGGGTAGCCGTACAGATGGCCACACAAAGACTCCGCCCGCGTAACGGGTAGATCTCCGAGCAGATGATCCATGGTACGCCAGCCCAACTGAAACAGAAGCCGACGGCATAAACAAAGATAAACACGGCGGCGGCATATGATCCGGCACTGATGTGTCCCTCAGCGGCAGCGTGGTTGGTGGTAGCGTGTAGCTTAACGAAAGGCCCAATAAACCATATGCAAAACGCCTTTGTCATTTCTCGTTAGAAACCAACGAAATATAGTCCACAAAATGTATCGTGGAGGACCGGTCAAGAGACAGCAGACTTACCATCAGAGCACTCCCCCAAATCAACATTCGCGTCCGCCCCAAGCGGTCGACAATCCAATACATGGCGATGCAAACAGCGACCAGTCGGACTATTCCATAGAGCCCCGTCGAAATCAGAGTGGTCTTACTACCAGTTAGACCGATCGATCGGAATATTCGAGGAGAGTAATGATTGATCGCGTTGGAGCCAGCCATTTGGAAGAAAACCATAATCATGAAACCCAGGAAGAGCCTGTCTCTGATACCAGGGTGCGTTAGCTCTTTGATCTCGACCCAGAGTCCCTTTCCGGGGTTATTCGCCCTTTCGTCCTCGATCTGGGCAATGATATCATTGAGTTCCGACTCCACAGATGGATGAGTTTCGGGGAGTCCCCGCAGGTACGACAGGGATTGCCTGGCGAACCTCTGTCCCCGAACCCTTGCAATCCATCTCGGAGATTCGGGAAGGAAAAGCAGACCAATAATCAGAAGCCCTCCGGGAACAAATTGGATGGCAAATGGCGTCAACCATTGGGAGGTCGACGGTGCCATAGTTTGATCGACAGCGTAGTTTATCCAGAATCCGATGCACATTCCCACCTGAACGCCAATCTCGAATATACCGACCAGACGCCCCCGAATTTGAGGTGGAGAGCACTCGGCCGTGTACAAGGGAACGAGCATACTTGCAGCACCGACAGCCTGCATTGCACAGTCAGTATAGCCGATTCATATGTGCTTCGTTTAGCTGTTGGCTGTCTTATTTCCAGGCCAAGCCTTGGACAACTTACGAGACCACAAACAAATCTTCCTACAAACATCACAGCCTCCCTTCCCAACGATGCAACCTGCATAGTTGTTCCGACGCAGAAGGTCAGGCCCGCCAACGCGAGAGCAAGCTTGCGTCCAAGACGATCACTCAGCGGGGCAGAGATGAGAGATCCGAAGAAGCAGCCCGCTTGTAAGAGCGATACAATATTGGCTGCAAAGGCATCCTCGACAGACTTGGAAGCGTGCTCCAACCCGAAGTCCCTGTAGATTGTTAGGATCACCAGCATCCATGTAGTGATGTCTGCCTGGGGCCTATTGACTTCTTAAAGGAGTGTAACTCAATCAATGTGCCGATAAAGGCCATGTCATATCCGAATAGGAACGCCCCCATTGAGGTGACGATAGCCAGGAAATACACTCGTATAGTAAACACATTCCCAGCATCTCCGGCACTAGAGCCACCAGGCCGTCTTTCGAGCAAATTGCGCATGGTCAGAGTTGGCACTTGATTCAGTTGTAGTAGTCGTTCTCAACCCATCATAAGGAGGAAGTGATTAAGTAAGAGAGGCAAGGAGGGGCTGCTTCTCTAAGTGCAAAACGAATGACATACTCCGCTAGGAACGTTATTGGCTGTCTGGGTGTGACGTTGAAGGTAATCACACGGGAAGTTACTACTACCTAGTAGTATCTCCCGCGGGTCAGATCTTCCCGCGGGGCAAGCACTTGCGTGGATACAATGTATAGAATCTTTTCAGGAGGTATCGCCGTGCGACATTATTGTCTAGAGGGATGGACCGTAAAGCATATGCCAATTTACGGCACAATATAATACCATAAAAAAAGCTGTCCCACTCACAACAGTAGATACCTCCTTGCCCTTATCATTTCAAAACGCCAGATACATCAGTCCTTTATTAGCAGTAAACTGGCCACAAAGGTTGAACTGAAATAGCCCCCCGTGCTAGGTGGTAGGAACTGAACCCGATTCGATGCCGGGGATTTTCAAGCACGTCGTCTCACGCGCCTCGAATTCAGGCCGAACGGGTATCCCGGCAGTCTGGATGAGGGCGGGTACTTCAAAAGGACTGTTCATTTAAGAGCATGACCTGCCTTTGTCCAAAGACCTTTGGGTGCCAATTCTCCTCTCTGCTCTGGGTTCGGCGGAAGCGACAAGAGACAGCTCAACGGAGCCGGGGGCGCGACAGCAACCACTTCTAAGGTGGCGGTAATTCGCAAGTCTAAAATACCCGGGATAGACGTCGACTATACCTTTGTTCAGGTTGCCCCGGATCAGGCCCAGGTTGACATGACAGGGAATTGTGGCAACATGGCGTCCGGGGTAGGGCCGTTTGCTTTGGATGAAGAGCTCGTGAGACCAGCCTTACAGGAACAAAGAACGGTCATATTGCCTTCCACACCATTTTGTTCACATTCTGATACCATTGTTACCCTATCAGAGAGACATCAGAGTGTTTTACACCAACACACAGCAAATCCAGGTAGAAACCGTCCACGTTATCCCGAACGGCAAGTTTTGCGAAGACGACGACTACAGCATAGCAGAGATTCGAGGCACAGCGAGTCCGGTCTAAATGACTTTCATCAAGCCAGGTAGTAGCATGACGAGAAGGCTGTTTCCCAGCGGAGTCGAGCAGGAAATGCTCACCGTGGGCTCGGCGCACACTCCGACACCGTTTATCGTTCGAGTCAGTCTAGTGGATGCTGTGAGCCCCTTCGTATTGATTGACTCGAGTACCATGCCCGCCGCTTATATTTACTCAGGGCGTACATCCATCCTCTCACTCGGAATCATCGAGGAGATCCGCGTTGCCGGGGCCTTGCGGTTTGGTCTCGCTCGAGACACTGCTACGGCGGGGGGGGTTAGAGGTACCCCTAAAATCGCCCTTCTATATCCAGCTAGACATGAGATAGATGTAGAAGGCCACGTTGATGAGGCTGGTATTGAAATACTACCTTTCAGCCTGGGTCAACTTCATCCCAGCCTTCAGTTACCGGGAGCCATCTGTCTCGGCACCGCGCTCAGCATACCGGGAACGGTGGCATGGGATCTTCGGCGCCAAAAAGCCGCACATACCAACCATAATTTCTCTCTAGCACAGCAAGCCATCATGATTGATCCAACAATGAGCACAGTCAAGTGGCTGCTCAAACATCCCAGCGGACTGATGGACGTGGAGGCAAGTTTGGAAACGCACGAGAACGGGGAGAGATTCGTGGAAGGCGTCAGCGTGTTCCGCACCGCACGACGACTATTTGAGGGAAAGGTGTTTTATCGCCTGTAACCACAGGTTGTGGGTATGGTAAGATGAATTTCAGATGAACTTCTTGCAAGAAAACTGTATCGAGCGCTGTCAGGTGAAGATAAGCCATGAAGCTGTCTGTTCACGTGGAGATAACTCTGCTGACGGCCTCAGGCCGGGGCATTCCCCCCTGGACGATCGACAACAGCGATCAACCAAACTTAATTGCCGATCATCATGTCCGAATACCCCATCAGTTTCCTTTTGTCCCCTCACAAGGTCACTGTGGGCACTGCTCATCGTCATCAAATGATCGTTAGCATGGAAAAAGCTTTGCTTGATTTTCTCCGGGGTATTCAACTTAGTTTCATTTATTCTATTCACTTTTTATTTTTTACTTTTCTCTCTTTTTTTTTTTTCTTCTTGTTTTGGTTTTACCTTCTAACTTCGGTAACACCATTCGGTCCCGACTCCAAGGTTCTGCGTTACACAAGGCGCATTATCGGAAGTAAAGCTGATTCAGTAGCGAAAACGTCACTTAAATACTAGTATACAAGCCAAACCTACACCAACGTATGCAAAATAGGATCCAACGAACACAAAAAAGAGCCTCTCCGTACGCCGCCCAATGAAGATACCAGTTCCCCGAAACTCCGAAGCTAGATCAAAGATCACGGTGTATATATGTCGGGATATATGCGAGGGTATATGACCGCATTCAGTGTCCGGATGGATCATCCGGTCGACTTCGTGAATGGCGCATTCACGCTACTCGTACTGTTTATCGTCGTCGATGGCATCGGCCACTTGATCATCGGGGATCCATTCCTCCGATTCGGGGATCCACGTATGGCTGCATGCGATTAGCACGATCAGATGACGAGAAGGCCAGAAAACTCACTTATGAAAATGCGTGCTGGTCAAGGCCGTCTTCCCGTATTCCTCGATCAGAATCGCATCGTAATCAAAGGGTACTTTGGCCGCAACCCCTTCGAAGGTGGTCTTCCGCAGGGGATAGATATCCTCCGTCCGGTAGTGGTGCTCGTGTTTATCTATCCATAGGTTCGGCTTCTCCGGGTTCATTTTACTCAATCCGGTGATATCGATATAGAGCCCCGTTTGCATGTCTATCCATCGCGCATCGATGATATTCAATCCCATGCCATTCTCGCGTTGACGAGCCCAGGGGTTAATGTCGAGCAGATAGGTTCGCTGTTCGTCGGGATGTTTGGTCGAGTATTGGACGACCGTCTGGTTATAGCGGTCGGCAAGATGGCGCAAGGTGGTATCCGGTACTTGCGTATCCATATCCCAGTCCCAGGGCATGACCTAGAAAAATCAGGCAAGGGCATCCAGTTAGCGACTCGTCGCGAACGCACTCGAAGTAGGAAAAATACCTTGCCGTTCCACCACCATCCCAGCAACGTCCCATGTGCGATCCACGTCTCTAATCCATTTTCGTCGAAGAAATTTAAGTAGGCGCGCACCATATGGGTCATTGTCTGCGGACGTTCCTCGTCGGCCACGGGTTCGGTAAAGTAGCGGGAATCATAATGGCCGAGAATATCATCGTGGCCCGGTTCATGGAAATACTTGAACTCCTGGGATTTGTTTAAGCCGTACTTGTCCCACAGGGGGTCCGGGTCGTCGTGATTGACGACCTTGCCGTAATGCTGTTCTGCGCTGCTCGTCGACAAACCAGAGGACGCCTCGGTCCGCGCTGACCAGATCGCACCGGTGAGAGCCAATAGGCCCCCAAGGTGCATTTCGAGAACAGGTGTAATAAGGGAGGAAGGAGGGTGATCGGTGGGCGGATAACAAGGAGATCGATCACGCCTCGGTGCGCATAGTGACCGGGGGAGCTAACGATCACCCCGTCGAATGATAAGTTGAGTAAATATGTGTATATAGAACAACAGTAAGAAGGAAGTAGGCTGTGGACCACCAGTTATTGCGCACGAGGGATCCGGGGATGGAGCCAATATTATATTCCTAAACGAGTAGTATCCCTGTCAAGTACTGTCGATCAGGAACCGAAACAGGGAGCAACGATCCCAAGCTAAACCTTGGGGGGGAAACTCTAAGAGAACTGAAGAATGTAAAGAGAAGTGATGAAAAAAAGAAAGAAAAGAAAGAAAGAAAACAGTCAAAAATCTTTCCAGGAAGCAGAGCAAGAAATTCCCCCGTCCAAACCAGCGCATCGGAAGGGAAAGGAACCTTGGGTATCCTTACCCATCCGACTAATCCGTCGAAAAAGCCAAAATAAAATGACATAAAACTGGAAAAAAAAAAAAAATTAATACCGGGAACCAGTTCTCTGCAGCTTCAGTTCTTTAAAGCGGGGCGAAAGGTCATTGGATTCACCCAAAAGTCCCCACTGTGGCAGGAGAAATTCAGTGCCAGCGAGAAAAGACCCTGCTTTGGGGGGGCGACCCTGAAATGGTGGAAATTCCTGTGCATCACCCGTAAGGGATTTTTGGCCTCCCTTCCCACGGCACTGGGGAGTCACAATTCATAGGGATGGCATATGGATGAAGTAAGTACTGACATCTGTATTCCATAGTAGAAATGATACTAGTACTTCCTTAGTACTGGAAGTATCGGTCCGGGACTTCCCCAAGTGCCGCCACCACCTCGCGTGCCAATTTGCCCGCTTTGGGGATGCTCCACTACGAACCTCAATCAAGTGAAGGTACGGAGTAGCAGGACATACCGTAGTACACATGTCCCCCTAGAGAAAAGAAACTGGAGAAACAAAAAAAAATTGTGTCATCCCCTTACTCCATTCATATCCAGCACAATCAATCTCAATCATCCATTCGTCATCACGGACGACCATGGTGTTTCATCATGAGCCACTTGACAGTTGACACCGCTCAAACCCTCCAAACCCTCCAAACCCTCCCGTATTCGTAAGGGCCATGACCAGCCCTACGTATAATACAGTCGCTCCCTGTTCCGGTAACCAGTGGCTGATTTAGGGCGCCAGACTAGACGCTTTAGTCGAGCATATAATTATATACCATCCTACCACGATGGTCGACGCCATAGTACTAAACTCATCGGCGCTTGGATCCCCTGTCTGCATTTACACTACTATTCTTATGCACAAAAGCATCCGGATCCATCATTAAGTAATGCCGTATCTCATGCACCGGCCACTACTACTAGCACCGGCCTTCCGTTTTGGGTCCCATTGGGATGAGAGCCCAGGTAACCGGTGCTCAACACCCCTGAGATGCCCACGCACTCATTCATAGGGATTGAATTCGACGACAAGCAATAAATCCAGATTGTCAATCGCACCAAACGACGCATTTCCACGATCGTCGAATATCCCCATCATGACAATCCCCCTTTTTTGCCTCTCTTTCAACCTGCCAAGCAGCCCGGGTCCCACTTAAAGCCGTTGGTCTTCGCCTCCGACTCCTGGCCGATTTTGAATCCAGTGTCCTTGGCGAAGCGAACAACTGGAGGCGCCCCGGCGACCTGTCACGACTCGAATGAGTGCTGCCTAATGTCATTCCTCTTGGCGAAGGAATCCTATTTGCACCGTTCTTTGTGGTCATGAATACGTCGTCGCGTTTGGAAAGCTGGGAAGCATGATTGGTAAAAGTGATCGGTCACCTGATCACTCCATTCCCCAAAGGATCAAGATTTGATATCGATCTCAACCAACGGAGCTGATGTCGGTAGACTTTATAATAGTATTATATGAGTGAAGTTGCTTGATTTTATTGTATGTTGTTTATATAACGGGCGGATTGCCTATTCGCCTGTTGTAGACCTCCAGATAAATTCCACTGCCAAGGTCAATGAGTTTCCAGATATGGCGTTCCAACTTGTATATATATTACGGTACGCCTCTTCGGATGATTTCAACGCCAACATCCCTACGAATATTCTACCTAAGTAATCGATTCTGATAATTCCCTCCAAACCCGAATGTAGCCCTCCCATGCCACCGACGAGGCCAAGGATCCCTGTGATCTACGGGGCACCACCTAGGATGGGAATCATACATGACAGAGCCTGAAGGGATGGTAAGGCATTATTGTCCTTGGGTCTTTTGTGTATTGGCAATCATTTACTTTTGCTCAGCCAAAGTCTATCCACACATGTCATATCTATGTTCTGGTTCCGTCTCGCGTGCCTCGATGCGCCTTTCCATGGGTCCGGTCCCCAGCGGATGAAAGGGGATGTGCCGACAGTGGAGTCGAGATAACTCCCGGTGAGCAATCAGCGGTCGGGCACGACCTCACCTGCATCCTCGCAGAGAAACCAGGCGAAACAGAAACGCCATTGGCGACACACGAAAACCAAAGGAAATCTCGTTCTACATGAATTTTGCCAGGTCATGTCGACAATCGAAAAGAAGAAAGAAAGAAAAACGGGTGGGGCATCGTAATGATAAATAAAAAAAAGGCAACCGAGCGCACAACATCATTGAATTTGGTTCATAGGTATTGGCATCAGTCTGCATATGCGAGAGCTGTGTTCAATGATAATATAGAATATTAAGGATGAGGGAAGAGCCGATGCAACGGGAGCGAGGCGTTTACTGCTTGTCGCCCGCGGCGGGGGTTTCGTCCTGGGCAGGAGCATCCGTCATCACCGTTTCATTCCTCTCTTCAAAGTTCATAGCAGCGGCCGCGGCCTTCTTGGCCTGCTCCTCAGCCGCGCGCTTGGCCTCTTCCTCCGCGCGCTTCTTAGCGAGCTCTTCAGCCAGAGCTTGCTGGCGCTCGTCCTCAAGGGTCTCCTCGAATGGCTGCACCAGCTTCTTGATCTCCTGGAGCTTGCCAGCATAAACATCGAGAGTGGTGTCAGAACCGCCCTCATCATCGTACAGCCAGTTCTACAGAGTCAAAGTTAGTACGGGCACAGATTATGAGCAGATATGGCGACCTAGCCAGGAAAGGAGCATGAACATACCTCGAGCTCATCCAGCTTGTCATCGAAGGCCTGCTTCTTCGCCTCATCTTCCAGGAATCTGGCGTAGCGACCATACTTCCTGTCACGCATATCATAGATCGTGGTTTCAAGCTCGTTCTTCTTCTCGTCGGTCTCGGCGATGGTCTTATCATGCAGATACATGGCCTTCTCGCCCTCGATCCAGGCTTCCTTGACGGACGCCTCAATGGCAGGGGTGCCGGCGGAGATGGGCAGGTCGCCCTTGCGAACCTGCTTCTTGACCTTGCGGGTCTTCTTGGGCTGCTCGTCACCCTTGGCATCGGTGTCCATGGCCTAGTCACATGTTAGTATCAAAAGAAACGCGCATTGAAATGGGAATCCAACTTACATCACCATCCTCCTCGACGGGCTCCTCCACTTCCATGTCCTCGACGTAGTAGCCGGACTCGACGTTGAGGATACCGTGCAGGTTCAGGCGGGCCTTGAGCTTGCAAATCATGAAGTCATCGTTGGCATCGGCCTTGACGCCCTTGACGGAGAAACGGCCCACCCAGGGGTTGGTCTTTCCGGGAAGCGTTTCGGGGCTGGCGTAGCGAGCCTCGAGGTCGAAAGGCTGCTTGCGGTAGAAAGTGAGAATCTTGGTCGAGGGCATGACATTGCCGCGGCCGAAGACGGTCAAGCTAGTGTCCTCGTCGGGGATGTCTGCGGACTGCTCCCAGGTGAATTCGATGGGGTAGTTGACGATGTCGTGCACGGAAAAGTCACGGACACGGAAAACGGGGGAGAGGATGGCACAGGCGAAGGCGCAACCGCGAGCGATGGCCTCATCTTGGTTCAGGGTGAAGGAAAGGTTCTTGCCGAAGAACTTGGCAACGGCCTCCTTGATGGCAGGGACACGAGTGCAGCCACCAACCATCTCAATGCTGTCAATATCCTCGGCCTTGAGCTTGGCCTCGGCAAGGGCCTGCTCGATGGGAACAAGGACGCGCTCCAGGAGAGGCGCAACCATGGTCTCCAGCTCCTCACGCTTGACAATGGAGCGGACGTCGACGTCCTCCATGAGGGACTCGATGCTCATGGGGGCAGCAGGGTTCGCCGAAAGGACCTTCTTCATCTTCTCAGCAGCGGCGAGGGTACGAGCCCAAGCCTTGGCGTTCTTACGGACATCGATCTTGAACTTCTCCTTGAACTCCTCGGCGAAATGCTCAGTGAGGGCAAGATCGAAGTTACGGCCACCGAAGTGGCGGTCGCAGGCGGTGGCCTTGACGTTCAGTTCACCCTTGCGGAACTCAACAATCGAAGCGGTGTAGTCGCTGTGGCCGATGTCAACAAACATGACGCGGCGAGGCTTCTCCTCGGGACCGGGAAGATCGAGCTTGGTGATACCGTATCCGAGAGCGGTGGCGGTGGTGTCGTTGATCAGTCTGAGCACCTTAAGACCAGCAATCTCACCGGCGTCAAGCATGGCCCGGCGCTGAATATCGGTGAACCAGGCGGGAACGCTGATAGTGACATCGGAGACGGGGATTTGCAGTTCGTTGGCGGTGATATCTCTGATCTTGGTCAGGTACATGGCGACCAACTGGGTGGCCGAGAACTTCTGCTTCTGCTGACGGAAGTTGACCTCGACACCGGCCTGGCCGTTCACATCGCAGAGGGTAGCAGTGTTGAAGCTCTGCTCGATCTGAACATCGGGATCGCTGAATGAGCGGCCAATCAGGCGCTTGAGGTTTGCAACAGTGTTCTTCAGGTTAGAGGTCTCTCGTGTCTTCGCAGCCTCACCGAGATATCTGCACTTGTTGTCGAATGAGACGAGGGAGCTGAACATCACACACAGTCAGTATAGGATGGCTAA